TAACGCAACATGCACTACAAAAACAGGCCCACCCAATAAAGTTACACGTCCTAGCACAGTTAAAAAACACATAACTCTTTCTTCTCAGAAACACACTACGTTATCACAACCTACTCGTATTCAACCCAAACGCAAAGCCAAACAAACACTTACATAATAATCAACGCTACTTAATGAAATTGCTAAACTGGTAGGATTTTTTTTAAATAGCGTTGGCTATTGTGGTCATCAATAGCTATTTTGTTAAGTATGAATTACATACTATTCCTATATTTCTTTAATGTGTGGTTTTTTTTAAAAATTTAATTACTGTTATTTATAAAATTATAAAATTTGGAACTCGACCGTCGGTCAAAATAAAATAACCCCCCTTCGGATTTGCACGATTCAAGACCGTCTTGTAGATATACCAGCCAAATTGCGATTTATTAGTTTGGTTGGCACTTAAAAGTTGTTGCGTAATGCGAAACTGGCTAGATATCGGGACATCCATTAGATTGGTTTGCAGAAAACAGATTTAAGATTGTCCGGATGCCGTTAACGGGAGATTGACCTTTTTTCACATCATTTGTTGTTGGTGGTCACGTGGTAATTTAGTTGGTTACAAGTCGTGTTTAGCTTTTTTAATTTGAGTCATCCGCTTCTGCCCGGAGGTAAGGATTATTCCCAATTTGTGTTTGATTGTTTCGATGTGAGGTTTATTTATAGCGGTTATTGTTCCGGAAGCATTCGTAATAGGAAGCCGTGAAACTGATTCAGTAGCCACCTGTGCGAAAGATTATTTTCTTATCAAAACCCATTAACTTTTAACACATCTGTGCATAACACATAAACTTTAAATATAAGGAATTATATAGAAGGAAACACACCTGCATTTTTTTTCATTTCGCAATGTCTCATCAAATTAAATAAAAGCAGTAATTGTAAAAACAGTTACGTTAACTAAAATGATTGATTGCCTCGAAATAGCAATACAACTACTAATGCAATTAACATAATTACAATCGGACTCGGACATGTTGCATTAATTAAGTAGTTTTTTTCTCTATTACTCGTTACTTGAGTGGGCAATTATCTTGGACGACCTAAAATTTTGCTATCAGTAGAGGATTTTCTTGTTTAGTCTATCACGTTAATGAATTGATGCTGCGGAAAATTGTATCACTGTGAACGAATAAAGTTTAAAATATCGAACGTCCCTGTATATCAACCTGCGTTCAATTACCACTGCGCTCATTTCGCTAATGCGCGTAAAAGTTTATCGTCTCGAGTTCTATACTACATCGCGTGCTGATAACGAAATTACATGTTACAAGATAGAATTCTGTATATATTGAATTATTTTATCATATACCGCAACCAACTTTCTATAACTTGAAGATAACAACTTCCTGCACACTCAAGCTGGTGCAAAACTCAATAAACGTAACGTAGTTGAAGTTATACATTGTTATCATGTTTTAACAAGAATATACTTGACAAGTTGCCGTAACTCTGACCCTCGGTCGCTCTTTTATTATTTGATTTCGGGTTTGAAATTGTTATAACACAATCCCGAAATGTGTTAGTGCTCAGATGGTTTTAGTATCGGTTTTTATTTACTATCACAATACTTTCTCTTCTCAAGTTAAACTTTTTATACCACTGGTTAGCTAGTATAACAATGAATTCATTATTTCCAGTGCTTATATCTTTTGTACCCGGTTAATTCCAGACTCGAGACCGAATCGATCCGGATTGTTTAAACATAGACACTGGTAATTCGTTTATACTTCGAGGATGGTTACCAAATCCTAGGTCTCGTATAATGAATGGCACCTTTGATTTTAAAGTTCCAATGCGATTACCCAAAATTAGATGATTCGATGGTAATTGTCAATATGATAATCTTTGAGAGTTAAAAATTTCCACTGTAGTCGTAATTAACGTAATAGTTTGTAAGCCATCAATTATCCTCTGTGAGTGGGGGCCACTAAAAACTTTCATTCGGAATTTGACGTGTTGGTCTTTTGGAATTTTATCAGAGTCGGGTTAGGATCTCCCTATTACCTCCTATATGGCTTCACTTGCTTTGGTCACGAGTGCCCAGTATATGTACATATGTATCCATGACCTAATTAATGTTATTCGATATGAATGAATGCTGGGGCCTTAGGGTGACGTTTAACCGTTAGCTTGAACTACGTTTGAAAATCGTATAAGCAACTCTCAAACTTCACCTTGTAATTCGGAAGGTCACTACTAGCGACTTTTGAGCTTCACCTTCACTAACTTCCCATAGACATCACACCAGAAGGTGAGCAACTATTAAACTTCAACTTGAACTACCTTTTAGGGGCAGGTCAGCGGTGGGAAACCTTTGATCGATAGACCTACTTTCCAAGACCTCTTACCTTCAAAGGGACCTTTTGAAATTTTCATTTCCAAAGTCATTCCCAGGCGCCGAACAACCTTTGAACTTCACAGTGAACTATTTTCAAGGTCACCTTCAAAGATTGATTGCATTTATCGTTACGTCAGCGTGAAACGCCACTATAACAATCAAAGTGCCTTTTTGAAATTCACCTTGATCTACAAGAAATTGGACCATTGCCGTGTGATGACCTTGAAGATGAAATACGACACCACAAAAAATGGAATGACCTTTGGTGGCAAGCAATCTTTGAACTTCACCTTGACTTGCTGTTCAAAGTTACAGGTCTCTGGAACTTTATCCCCAACTCTTCTCAAAAGTATCGTCTGATCCGGCAGTACTATCCGAGCTGCAGCCTTGACCCCTCTCGCCCCTCTTATGAATTGTTCCTCCTTTCTTCGTACTAGATGCCATACCGGATCTTTTCTTCAACTTCCATCAAGCTGACTTCTGAGAAGTGACCATAAACTGTCTTTGCGAACATGATTTTCTCCTCACATCATCTCTGTTACTCTGTAACTCGACTCTACTGATATTCTAGTAATCCCTGCTGAAACGTTGTGGTAAGAAGCCACATTAAATCTTTCGTGCCAGGCGATTCCAAGTCGTAAAACGTTTTTTTATCTGGGCCTTCAAGGACTCTTCCCCAAAGAAAGCAAATATTCCCATTCCACAATATGCATGACCTCCTGGCAGTCCGATTTCTGGGCGAAATGGAAGCTCATGAATTCGTACCTTCTTCATGACGGGCAGATGCTTGTACATTACTTTCCACGGTGTACGGATTTTTAGCGCATTTTTTAACAATTAAGAAAAAATGTCTTATTGTTTGTGCTTTGTCCGTCCGTCCGTCCTTCCGGACCCACTTCTGCCGTTTTGAACCATTTCTAAGGGAATGGTCCTAGAGTCCCGGAATTTTTTGCAATAGGCAGCGTATACCTTCAAGGTGTGCCAGATGGCCGTCAAATTTCGCTGTCTTGGGAGGGGGGGGGGAAAGAGGGGGGTCTATGAATTATTTCCTCAGATGCTGTTTCTGAAACTCAAACGTGCATACAACAACTAATTGGTCTCAGATTTTGTATACGAATGCCTTTAATGGTCCCAAGTAAAAGTTCTAAAATATAGGGGGGGGGGGGGGGGGTAAACGACGTTCTACTCTTCATGGTATTCTAATAAAAAGTCTCACCGAAATAAATTAGTTTGTACAAGTATAACTTTCCCGCGCTTCTTTCTGACTCTTTATAAAAAGAGGGCGGATGGGGTGGGGGGGGGGTGTAGAACTGGTTTTATCCTTCATGGTACTCTAACGAAAAGAATTAATTTCTACCAACCATAGTCATCCTCGTCGATCTCTTATCTCTTATATCCCAACTTTTTGAAATAAACGCTACCTTAGTTTCTAGAGGATATACCATTGGCTACAAGACAGGCAGTGTAATGTGGTTTATGCATGATGGTGCACCAGCTCACTTTAGTGTAGTTTCTCGACGGTTTTTAACAGCAACATGCGAAGATCGCTGGATTGGTCAAGGTGAACCGCACTTAAGGTCTGCTTGATTCCCGGATTATTTCCCATGGGTCTATCTAAAATCATTAGTTACACTAGGCCAGTAGAAGATGAAAACGAATGAAATCATAGCTGGAGTTAGCCATTTTGAATAATTCTTGTAGTTTAATAAGTGACACATGTTGTTGAAAAATGTTCCCCCTGTATCTTAGCAACAAAGCACTTTTTCAAAAATCATCAAAGAATTAAATAATAGATCAAACTCCCTGTATATAGTTAGGGACGATAATCTCCATGTCTCCAGAAAACCGATTTTTCATCAAGAGAACTATTGGGTCTACATGTTCAAATTAAAGTAAAATATTTGCACTGAAACAGGCCTTACTGACGACTTCCCAGTAGAATTCCTATTACAGGTCGGTATTTTTGCCCAAAGAGGACCAAAACGCAATTTTTTGAATACGGGATAGTATTTTCAGTCGCTTCCTTTGTAACCGGTAACTTTGAAACTTTGCCGGCCTGTGTGATGGCGCGTGGAGTAGAAGCTCGACTGCGGTACTAAGAGTCCCTGGTTCGAATCCGGGTTCGGTGTGGTTTGATAGAGCAGCATTGGCTGAAACCTCGCCCACTTATAACAAGAAGTAATGTGTGATTATGAGCACCTTTCTAATTACCTTTCTGTAAGATAGTAATAAAGCGACACGAGGAATGCCTCAAACGTTTCACATAGAGATTATTTATGGCAATTAATTTGTCATTACACGCAAGGCGCGTTCCCCTTTCACAACATAATCATAGTCAAACCTACTACGATTCGAAGCATTCCATTAATTCGTTAAAAAAAACATTCGATACAGGATTGGCAAATAAATTAAATCATTCAGTACAATAGCGTTTAATAATGGACTCATAAATAATTCGAGATAATTTTGCGCGAAATTATGCAGGCTTAGGTCTAATTACACGTTATTATAATGCAATCCAGCCGACAATAATGACATCATTTTCAAATCGATTAGTTTGAATGTTTATTTGATTTAGTGGAGGGTGATATAGGTACGTAACAGAGTGACAACTTACATGGATGGGTTGGCGCGAAAGGGTAGTCCAGTTGTGGTATTCTTGGTTGCGGAGTGGCACCTGGATGTAACGTCGGCGGGCAATGGTAACAGAACATGCCCCTTCCACTCCCTCCCGTTATCTGTAATATGCAAGAGAATCCTATTACAATAAATAACATAGGGATGAAACTAAAGTTAGCCTAATAGTATAATAAAATTTGATGCTAATAATGTGCGACTTTCACCAAAAGAAAGATTTACAATTGGTAAAATTGGTATCCACTACACTTAAAATTAGCACAACCTCTGCTAACCACAGTACGAGGGAAATCCATTCGTTTATATTTCAGAAAACATTTAAATATGTAAACATCTAAAGAATCCAAAAACAACCAAATGTTGTAATGAAATGCTGCTTTTGTACTGAAAGCGTAACATAACATTTATCGATGGTGGATATTGTTTGCTATAACGAAAAGAACATCTTCTCTTAAAAAATTGCATTAGCAGTTTTAGTTTTTTATTTTATAGCACATGTAAAATTGACATCTTAATAAGTTTGAATGAGTAGGCTAAGCCGCTCCTTAACAGTAAGGATAGATAAAATGAAACAGATGACTGTGCATTCTAATGGCATCTGTCATTCTTATTGCAAATGCACGATATAAAATGACGTTCAGAACATACGACAATTCTGTTTCTATGAAAACGATCGCGACGGCAGAACCTAAGCTTGCTATTTTTGACGTCTCTAAATTAAATTCAAAATTGTCAGAAGCTTTTACAATGATTTATATGGCTTCTGCTAAAAACTCGGCTCTAAAATAAAGTTTTGTATTATACACGTCGATAAAGGGAAACTAACCATCTCGTGAAAGTTTTCCCTCAATGGTTAAAATATCCCTTTATCGTCTTGTAACTATTAATTAATCACATTAATAGTAAAGGAGTCGTCTCCAATATTTTTCAAGAAACTACAAGGATTTTTCTAAAGCCTTTTGTCCATTATTGGTCTTTACAATAATTTGCGAGCCTCCGCCAAATGTCTTTTAAGTGTTTGAATGATCTCAATAGACTTTTAGTAGGCTTTAAGAGCCTGTAACTGGCCTTGTGAGAAACCTTAAGAGTCTTTCAAAGTATTTCATTTATAAATTACAAATTAACCGGCCCGTGTAGCGCAGTTCAGTTAAAGCTGAACTGTGGTGCTAAGGGTCCCTGGTTCGAATCCGGGTACGGGTATGGATATTTGTAAATGTATAGTGGGTTGGGTTGGTAGATCCGCCTTGGTTGAAACCCCGCCCACTCAAAAATAAAGTCAAAATAAAATAAATAAAAAAAAAATCCGTAAGTAGAATTACATTAGGAACTCTTAACTCTTACTTAAGAAGTAATGGTTCGAAGGCTTTCAAGAGTCTCTAAAAGTCTTCTACCTACAGGTCTTTAGAAAACTTTAAGAGCGTTTAATGGTCCTCAAAACTAAAAGTCTTCAACCGACTCCGAGAGTCTTTTAAAGGCTTTTTAATTGGGTTTTTCAGGTTTTGGAAGTACTTAAATGCCTTTGACGATCCTTAAACGCCTTAGAAGAGTTTATAATAGAAAACCCGATTTGGTGACCATCTACGATGTTATACGGGTAAGTGTAACGATAATCGATAATCATCGGGTGTGATTATTTTTTAAATTAATCGCTTACTTGATTGATCGATTATTTGATTAATCGGATATTTGATTGGACGATCATTTGATTAATCAATTGATAAGTATAATGGATTATTTAAAATTTGATTATTATGATGATGCAAACCTGTAATCGCCCAGTACTATAATTGAGGACCGTAACTGTTGGGGTTAAAGCTCCTTTTCCGAAGCGCGGGGGGGGGTGGGGTATTCCACAACCGCGGTGCTACGTTCTCGTTTCAATATAATATAGAACCATCAACCATCAATGTTTGTGGTGATCATGTTCGGGGGAACCTAAACTCCCTCAGGGACAGGAGCTTCGAGGGTTTTTCCTAAAAAATGATCACAGATACTGAGTACTGTGAATATCATGAGGGTAATATACATCACCGGGGGTCTGGGGGGTATAGAATATCCCCGAGGAATCCCCCCCCCCCCATTCCGGCAAAAGAAACACTCTTCCCTGGGAAAAGTAATGGCAAGTGTACAGGACCGCAACTGTTAGGGTGGGGATGATCACCGGGGAGCGATCAAAGCTCCTTCTCCTGGGGTGTATTCTAAACCCCCCTCACCGCCCGATGTTACGTTTGCGTTTCAAAACATATAGAACCATCAATACTTGTGTTTATCATGTTCAGGGGAGCTCCCCCGGGAAAGAAATGGTTATCCCTAAAAAATGATCACACGTGCTGAGTACTGTGAACATCTTGAGGGGAGTATACATCCCCGAGGGGAAACTTCGATGACTCTTCTTCGAGAATGGTGATGACAAGTTGGGCAACAAAGATTAATCGATTATACTCCAACGTTTTGATTATTCCTTTAAATTAGTCGATTATTTGATTAATCGATTACTTTATTAATCGGTTATTTGATTAATCCATCAATTCATTAATCAATTAATCAGTATAATCGATTAATTTAATAATTCAATAATTTTCAAAACTTGGCACCACTAAAGGCATTTAATAATGGATTCTAACCTGTAATCGTCCATTGCTAGTCAAGAACCCCGATTGGCTAGAAGAAATGAGTTCTATCGGTGGAGAGGGCGTAAGCCACAGAATGGGCGCGAATTAAAAAATCAATAAAAGGTTTTCGCCTTAAGGGAAGTAACTTTAGGCGAATTTTCCATGAATTTGATTAGAATAGATTAAAATTGAGCGGTACTTCTCGAAAGGTTATGTAACGTAAGAAATTTCACATTCTACAATTTGCGCACGCGCGCATCCGGTCGTTACAATATGCGATATGCTTGTCTATACTAGAAGCATCCGTGGTCAAAATATTGCGCAGCCTGGGCATGCGCACATTAATCGTCAAGGTTGTTCTTGGTTGAGGTGTCAGAGCTGTAAGCTACCAAATTCAAAAAGAACGAACCAAATATTTTGAAAACTGTACAAATACGTACGGACAGACGAACGGATGTTAATACAGAAATATTCTTTTAAATAAGAAACTTACCATTGCGCACACCCGATGTTTAAGATATGCGATGCGTTAGTCATTACTAATCGAATCTATGGATAAAATAAAAAAGTTGAGATTGCCCAGTTTGCGCATGCGCACATCTGATTTTTACAATATGTGATATGCTTGCTTTACTAGAAACATGTCGTTAAAATTAAAAAAAATTTCCATTGATTCGTTACCGTGCCTGTCTTTCCCAAAAAAGTTTTTTTTAAGATAGGCACGATAATTTGAATAATTAACCCAAATAATGATCGATCCATCAATACAATATAAGAAAATTGACATAGCGCATTTTACACAGGCGCAATGTAATCGTAAAGATTTTTCTTGGTTCAGGTGTCTATAAGCTACCAAATCAAGAAAGAACGACCTAAAATTCTCAAACGGGCGGACGGACGGACAGAGAAAGTGGCGATAACAGCGCCTTCCAACATGAGTTAGAAAATGAGCTAAAACGAAAAGCATCGGCAATTAGGTTGTTTGCAGTCGTGAGATAATACGTGTTAAGCCAAGAAAGAGTTCGTGTCGAGCGTGAAGTCGACCACCTGTAAGTCGGCGAGGGTGGATTTTAGTTTGTGTAAAGAATTCTGTTTAAGCCGCGGGCGTTGCAGTGAATTAGAATTCAAATGAGAAATTGCGTGTGAGTATGAGAAATTTGAACAATGCGTGAGTAATAACAACCAAAGTTTTGTCATTTTTAATAAGCCATTGACTTGACTACGTATACGTCGTGACCGTTTAATTGTCTGGGAGAAATTATTAGCGCCCGTCTGACGGCCGATAATGCAATCTTAATGTTTGTGGAGTGTAATGGTCAAGTCAAGTTTCGTCAATACTAACAACGCATAAGTTCCACTCGATACTTTCGCAATAAGCTCAAATTCTGATCCTCGGCCTTCAGCGCCCGAACACGTTTTAACCCGGCGTCAGCAAGCGCGGCACCTATGCAGTCTGATTATAGGAAACTTTTCTATTATTTTTTGGATCCATGTCCGATTAATTCCGTGAGAGAAGTTGGTAGCGTCAGTCTGGCGGGAGATAAGCAAAATTAGCGGGTTATATGTGTCAGTTTCTGATGAGTTAGATCCGTTTCGTGACGTAGCATGAGAATTGATTACTCTGGGTTTTTCACCACAGAGATTTCTGTCCAATTGCTTTTCTAAACGTGGAAGAGGACGAATTTTATTGGTTGAACGAGCTAAGATGGCTGCGGAGACCAATTAGTAACATTTTGAAGGCGTATTTGCAATATTGGAAAAGTGGGATTTGAGCCGAGAGCAATACCTGTGCCGCACGAACTAGAGCTTTCAAGTGGATGTTAATTAAATGAATCAGTCAATTGCGGAACGTTTCAGTTAAATAAAAAAGTGACTCTAGGAAATCAATTGCAAAGTAAATTTGATCCGTAGTATCTAAAATTAGGGACGCTTGCCGATATCACCCACTTTGCACTTCGTTATCCGAAAGACGCTTTAATGGTGCAGTACGCGTTTAACCATTTCCGATGGAAAACTAATTCGTCCTCTTCAAAGAAATACCAGATTTTTCCACGTAATGAGTTCCAAGAGTGATGTCCTTCAGAAAACACGTTCGCAAAACCATTCTGTAATCGAGCTGGAGGCGCAGAGAATTTCACTATCGGTAAACCTGTAAAACAATGTAGTGGCATCGTTTTTATAGTTGTGTATTAAATCCATTACCGTGAGTGTATGGGCAAAAAGGATCTAAATTGGAGTTTTTAATAGTGAAAGAGGGAACCTTAAGGAAGCGGCCAGTTCACATTTAAATTATGTGAAATTGCCTTTTACCATTGTCCGCCGCTTAAAACCATATCCTAGAGCCAATTTGCAATAAATTGGTTTGATATCGAAAATTTTAAACCATTTAGTTAATTAAAAATATTTATGAATAAGCAACCTTAAACATCACAACGGAAAGCCACATTAATTTTCAATTAACTACCGCTAAGCTCGATAATTTTTCTGTA